CTGAACTTCTGATGAACAAATACAAACACTATGACTCCGAGAGTAAAGGAACAATGGGCTGTGAGACTTCTGAAGAAAACCGTGGCAGAGGCCCTTTAGGTGTTCTGTAGCAGCCATGGTGGAGTTTCTAGGGTCCAGTCAGTTCAGAGATGCTGAAGCTGTCAGATGTGGCACCAGAACCCTAGGTTCTCAAGCCAGGAGCTATGCAACAGCAGGTGTTTTGTACAGGGGCTCTCAGAACTGTTCCTGGTAGCTCACTTAGTGCCTGCTCCTACAGGCCTTTCCATTATTCCGAAATGTCTTTAAATCCCTGCAACAGATTCTGTTGTCTGCAATGGAACCTTGACTAAAAGATTATGGATTATGTTTCCTCTGATTGGAATCCAGCTCTAGCTTTATAACAAAAGCATTAGGAACATAATTCACTTTGAAGAACACTACTCTGAAATAAGTCTATTCAACAGAGGAAAATGAAATGGAAGAAATCACCAGCTAGGTCAACCCAATAAATGCTCAAGAACTAGGTAACAAAGGCAGTGACTGTGTTAGAATGTGTTCACAAATGCATTATGTATTTCGAAACCAAAAGATATGTAATGTTCTCTCTACCAAAACAAGATAAATATTTTAGATGATGAATATCCCAATTACCTTTATTTGATCATTACATGTTGTATACAGGTGTATACAAAGTATCAAAGTATCACCTGTACTCCAATAAATGTATACATCTATTGTATATCAATTTTTACAGAAAAAGCAGAAAATGACCTACCTTACCAACCAGTTTATATTTTTCATTATTATACCTTTTTCCTTCAGAAAAATACAGTATATAGCTGAATATATTTACTATTTTCCTTATCCTCCTATCTAGTAAGTTGTAAAAATAAAATACTACAGAAATACGACATATTTTTGTGTACTTATTTCCTAAATAGCATTATTTGCTTAATGTTTACTTTGAGGCGATATGTAATATCTTATTACACTGAGTAAAAGTTTTCTGTGGTCAGAGAAAATCTTTATAATGTTCTTGAAATCATAAATCTTTCCCTGCACATTCAAAGGCAGCAAACTGACCTTAATGGCCCATAAATCTCCAGGCAAGAAACATAAAAGGAGACAAATTTTGTAAGAAATCTGCACAAAAGAGGCACTGCTTTCCAAATGAGCTCAGGCTAATGATTCATTGAGCGATTATTGGAAGAGTTTTCTTTTTCTTTCAACAGCTGCTTTTCTATTTCTAAATGAATTTCAACTAAACCATTTTACTGCTTACAAGTTCCAGAGACAACACTCTCTCCCAATCAATACTTTCTTAAAGGTAAAATGCTTCCACTAATAAAACCTTTTTTCTGTAAATAACAAAGCCCCTGCTCAAACCTCTCCACCCTTCTGCATAGGTGAAGAGGCTTACAAGCGCAGGAACACTGTAAACAGGACAGGCACAGGCTGGCCTGTTCTACTGCGTACCATCACCAGCCGCTTCATTGCCCCTCACCACACAAGCCAGGCAAATTGGTCCAGGGTAAAACGGCAAAGGGGAGGTGTTTTGTGGAAGAAGAAAAGAGAAAGCCTCTTAAGAGGGTTTAATTAAATCAAGAAGACCTAGTTAACATGAATAAGTTATCTTGCTTATCTTCAGCCCAACTGCCAACCTAAACTCAGTAACATCTTCTGGTCACAGCTCTCTACCTACCTACCTATTTCTTAGAAGTCACTTTGGATTATGCAAGAGAGCAAGAAGAATCTATTTGGTTTAACATGAATAGATTCTGTCTCCTTTGCTCTATCTATGCCATATTCTCCCACCTTTCCTCTTAAAGTTAGCAAAGAATGAATCAAATGTTTAAAAAGAAACATTACATTTCAGGGTGAAGTTGAAGGCACAAAACTATGTTATTTTCCCCCACCTCTCACATTGGAAAAACACTAACTATATTTTCTACAAGGTATAAAGAAAAAAGAGCTATAGATGATGAAAAGGGGTGGTAAATTGGAGATCATGACCAAAAAAAAGTAATAGAATGCGATGACTAGAGAACAAAGTACACAAAATCATGACTCCTCGGCTTCAAACTACGCTAATAAATCATACATAACATTAGTGTCACTTCCTCAGAGAATCAAAAAGACAAAGTGAGTCACAATAACATAGAAGGAAAAAAGATCCCCAACCTGTTGGGGGCCCCAGCTCCTAAAACGATCCTCCCACTCAGAGAATTTACTTTCTGCTTAGGAAGCCTTCATACATGCAAGAAAACTGGTTTCTACCAAGCATCTCTGCAGTGGAGAAACACTAGCAAACTGGAACTTGACATGGAGTCCCAAAATGTTGGAGTCCCCCAGGTTAGAAGGTCAATTAAGAAAGAAAGTGTGATCTCAAGAGAGAAAAAAGGACAACATTTTTGCCATCTGTCCAGGGGAAGAGGAAGGGAACCCTCCATAATCCCAGATACCACCTTTCTACTTTACACTCTGCCTGAAAGGCCAGGGAAACTGACGAGCAGAGCTATGCCAAGGGGTTCTCCCACACATCTTTACATCTTTTCCCTTTGCCCCTTAGCTGCCCAAGCTGTCCAGGAGACATTTTCCCACCCAGAGCACCCCTAAGCCCACCAGCCATCACGGGCAGCTGAGGGGCAGGGTAGACTGGGAACAGAGAGAGACAAGAACGAGACCAAGGCTCACCACATCCTCGGGGCACATGGCCCCCCTTTCCCCACTGCCCTCTGCTTCCACCATCTCTCTTCAGAAACCTATTTGTGTATTAATAAAATAGTTCCTCTTATTTATTATGCCTAAAACTTAAAGACTACAACACAGAGACTTCTGCTTTCAGGCAAGATATAGTACACACATTTATCCCTATCCCTCCAACAACAACAGCTAAAAACCTTGGCTGTCATATATAAAACAAACGCAAGGAGATTCTGAATGGTGAGAAGAGCACAGACTGGCTAGAGACCTCGGGACCTAAGGAATGACAACAAACAAAATAAAATTAAGTAAATACTGACATAAATATTAATATTTACATTAATACAATAGTAATTATACTTACTATAACTTACTAGATGGGCTTATTAGCAGAATTAGACTACTTAAAAAAGAATTATTGATCCAGGCATGGTGGCTCACACCTGTAATCCCAGAACTTTGGGAGGTCGAGGTCGGCGGATCTCTTGAGGCCAGGTGTTCCAGACAAGCCTGGCAGACATGGCAAAACCCCGTATCTAGTAAAAATACAAACAATTAGCTGAGCATAGTGGCAAATGCCTGTAATCCCAGCTTTTGTGAGGCTGAGGCAGGAGAATCCTTTGAACCCAGGAGGCAAAGATTGCAGTGAGCCAAGATTGTGCCACTGCACTCCAACCTGGATGACAGACTGAGATTCTTCTTTCAAAAAAAAAAAAAAAACAGAATTATTGAACCTAAGGATATGTCAAAAATCACCCAATCTGAACAACAGAGGAAAAACTTGACTGAAAAAATACACCCTCAGAGACCTTTGATACAAGAACAAAAGATCTGACATTGGTGTCATTAAATTTTCCAGAAGGAAAGAAAAAATATGAGGCTAAAAATACATTTGAAGAAATAATGGCAAAAAAAATCCCCAAATTTGGCAAAAGCATAAACCTACAGATTCAAGAAGCTGAATAAACCCCAATCGAATTAAATACAGCAATTAAAACACAGAGCTGGGCAGAATGGATTGCTAGAAAAATGACCCAACTCTAGACTGTCTACAAGAAATTCACTTTAAATATAACAAAGTGGGGAGGTGGAGAGTTACAGGATGGAAAAGGATATGCCATACAGATATGAATCAAAAGAAAGTGGGAGTGACTATCAATGGCAGTTAAAGTAGACCTCAGAGAAAGAAAATCACCAGAGTCAAAAAGGGTCATTGCAGAGTGATAAAAATATCTTCTCACCAATAAGATAAAATAATCCTAAATGTGTATATGCACATATATGCATATACATATATATATATTAAAAGCACTGTGGTTTTCAGGGATTAGGGATGAGGAGGAGGAGAGTGAGTATGACCATAAAAGAGCACAGAGTAGCTCTTTGAGGTTCTGTATCTTTATCATATTGGTGTTTACATGAATCTACATGTGATAAAACTGCATATTAACTATATACACATACACAAATAAGCATCTGCAAAACAGGTGAAATCTGATTAAAGTCTGTGGGTTGTACTAATGTCAAGTTCCTGGGTTTGAGAGTTCACTGTAGAAGATTCCCTACTGGGGAGCTAACTATCAGGTCCTCCTGTTGGTAACAACAGACACTAGGGACTGCTGTGGGGTGGGATCGAGGGCTGGCAAGGGCTGAGAAACAACTGTTGGGTACTGTGCTCAGTACCTGGGTGACAAGATCATTCTACCCTTAACCTCAGCATCACACAATATACCCAGGTAATAAACTTGCACATGTACCCCTGGAATCTAAAATAAAAGTTGTGGGGGTGGGGAAACGATTCCCCACTGGGGAAGCTGGGTGGAGGTACACGAGGCCTCTCTGTACTATTGTCGAAACTTCCTGTAAATGTGTAATTGTTTCAAAATAAGAGGACGTTAAAGGTAACAAATTGACTCAAAGTCCCATTATAGAAAAATGGCTAAAATGAGCGTTTCTGGGGTTTAACCCAAGATGGGATTTAGAACCCAGCTAGCATGACCTTTACTTCTTCCCCTAGTGGTAGCACCAAAGGCACCGGGTGAGTAACAAGGTGTGGAATCTCAAGGTGATGACTCAATATCTTATTTGCATACCCATGGTAACCTGCACATAGTAAATTCTTTAAAGCTTAAAAGACTATTTCTTTTGACTCAACATTTCTAAGTATTAGAAGATTACTTAAATAATTTTTGTGCAAACCACAGGCAGTAGTAACTCTTTTTGTGAGAAATATAAGCACCATCGGTGTACTAGGAGCTGCAGTTAGTGCAGTAATGAGTTAAACTGACTTAGAGCACCTGCTGGTTTCTCTTTAGTTTGTATTAACTTTTTGTCTTTTACTGAAGATTGCTGTGGGGAGGAACAATCAGCTTTGAAAGCAACAGTTTGAATCTGTGCTTTAGGCAAGACAGATCATGTTTTAAAAAAACAAACAAACAAAAAACCTTAGAAACAGGCACTGTGATGTAGGTTCAAGTGTTTCATTGTTGCCACTAACTTAGACATTGTATAACAGGACTTCTAAGGCCACAATTAACTCTTGTTTTCCATCTCAAAGCTCTGAATACTGGTAAAAGTCAATGTAACTTTCCTTGGTGATATCTGACTTGGCTAATTAGCAACATTAAGGTTAGAGACACAGACTGGCTTAGACAATTTAGAGAGACTCCCCCTTAGTGATGGACTCAATTCCACTGATCAGTTTGGTATGAACTGGTTTCCACTGCTTGCCTAATAAACATTTAATAAATGTACATGCCACATAGAATTTGACCTGAGATTTGCTTTCATAAAACCTGGGAGCAAAATTATGGTGTAATAACCAACCTTCATCCATCTTGAACTTTTTGACAGCTACTGTCATCCCTGAAAGTGGCATCAGTCAGTTCCCCACACAAAGACACCCCCCTTTACATCTTCTCCCATGTGCCCCTGTGATCTTGCTCTTACCCTGCTGCTGCTGCTGCTGCTGCTTAATTTCTTTTTAAGAAAGGCTTATCAACTGTCATGTCATGATTTTAAAAGGTAATAACCTTTTTAAGAATGCTGACAGGCACCACTTTTAGGAAATGTACTGAGAGAAGGAAATGTTTCCCCTCCTTCCCACTTCCCCATGCCTCCCCCACAAATTTCAGATCCAGCCACTATTCAACTTGCCCTAGGCTGGAATAAACCCTTCCCCCTTTCTCTCTGAATCCTATTGTAGCACTTAGACAATTCTGAATCCTGTTACAGCACTTACATGTTTACGTGTGAATTAACTTTAATACACCTCTAAGGACAGTTCTTAACATTGAACACATCCAAATGAGGAGTCCAGAAAAAGTGAGTTAGCATTTGAAGGATTCTAATCAGAAATCTACTCCCAGACATGACTACAATTCAAATAATTCCAATATGGTACCTAAAGCTACACCTGAAAGTTTACTAGCATACGGAACATTAGAAATAAATAGTTCACTAATGAAAAAGCGTGGTGCTCAATGTGTGATGGGTTAAAATTTTTCTCAGGCTTGGAAACCCTTGTAATAATGAAGTTCGGAAGAATCCCTTGAGGCCACGTGCAGTGGCTCCTGTAATCCCACACTTTGAGAGGCCGAAGCAGAAGGATCGCTTAAGCCCAGGAGTTAGAGCTTATAGTGAGCTATGATCACACTACTGCATTCCAGCCTGGATGACAAAGCAAGACCCTGTCTTTAAAAAATAAACAAGTAAATAAATTAGTCAGGGTGTGGTGGCTCACACCTATAATCCCAACTGTTTGGGAGGTCATGATAGGAGGATTGCTTAAGGCCAGGAGCTTGAGACAAGCCTGGACAACAAAGCGAGACCCCGTCTCTCCGAAAATTTTAAAAAGCAGGGTGTGGTAGCACATGCTCACAGTCCCAACTATTCTGAGGGCTATGGTGCTGGTACCACTACACTCAAGCCTGGGCAAGAGAGAGACCCTGCCTCAAAAAATTAAAAATAACCTCCCTTGAGCCCAGCACCCAAAGCACTGAAGGTTGAACACTCTCTTCATCTGTGTCCTTTAATAAGGCTCTATCCTCTAATCAGACTAGAAGGGTAGCTGCTTCAGCCAGCAGAATAGAATTGCACCAGCCTCAGAAGGAACTTTCTGCAAGATGCCTGTTGGAGTACCTAAAGACAGACAAAAGAGGCTTCGAGAGCTTTCAGGAACAGGTTCAATGATGGGTTTTGTACCTGCCTACTTAATGAATGTTTGTACTTGTAGGAGAATTCAGAGATAGACATTTTCACTGTTTAACATACCACTTCGTGGCAAGGTTGTGGGAAAGAAGACAGTTTACTCCTATCCACCTCCAAATGACAGAAGTTACCAAGAGTAAACCCAAAGAACTTTATTTTTGTTAAACAACAAAATAGACTTGTTGTTTAACAAAAAACACTTAGACAATTCTGAATCCTGTTATAGCACTTATATGTTTTTAGTGTTTTTAGACTTATTGTCTAAGTGCTAAGTCTAAGTCTTAAAAAAAAAAAAAAAAGACTCAGCTCCAATCCACTGGTTCCAGGGAGTCCTCTCTGATCACTCCAAGGCTAGAAACTCTTCCAGCAAATTTGGCTACACAGACTAGGGTCCATCATACAGAGAGAAACACATTGTTAAATGGGATGCCAAGGCCAGCTTTCAGGCAGGACCCACAAGCAGGGCCAATTGTCCTGGCTGTGTACAGCCCTCGCCCTTGTTAAATACTTCACACATCAGCCGTATTAAAGCTAGGGGTGTCTGCCTGGAATTCTCAGAGTGTAACTTGAAGAGAGGAACAATGCCTCTTCCTTAACCCACAGCAATCACCACAACCCAGACCAGATCACAAACCCAGGTAGTAAGCACTGACTTGTAAACTGATTGGTTTGTGGCTGAGAAATTTCTCACCATCCCCAACAGTGGGAATGTCTTTATCTCTGCATCCGACTCCCTCACACATTAGTAGGCTCTTGAAAATATTTGTTGAATTGAAGTGAACCTGCCCATCGGGGTTGGGGATTTCTTGCAAAGGAACATGGATCTCTTGGCAACATTTCCTTTGTTTCATGTGTGTAAACTCTGGTGAGTTTACAGAGGTTAGGCCCTAACTCATTTTCATTAAGCCGCAGCTCCTCAAAGATTATTCCCGCATGTCTGCCATATCTCTGTCTCCTCCATCTGATGGGAGCAGATTAATAAGTGATTTGGCTGTGTGTGTCAATGTTCAGCCTGTCTTTACTAACAGAAAATTGGATTTTACACAGCTTTTCTCCTTCCCAAAAAGGCTTGCTTAGCAGAGACAGATTCCTGTGTTCCATGCCAGTCCCTCCAGACAAGGAGAATGTGGGCTGAAGAGTCTCCAAATGGCAGGGACAAGAAACCCACAGATGAGGCCAGGCATAGTAGCTCACACTTGTGATCCCAGAACTTTGGGAGGCCAAGGTGGGTGGATCACTTGAGGCCTGGAGTTTGAGGCCAGCCTAGCCAGCATGTTGAAAACAGGTCTCTACTAAAAATACAAAAAGTTAGCCGGGTGTGGTGGCACATGCCTGTAGGCCCAGGTACTTGGGAGGCTGAGGCAGGAGAATCACTTGAACTTGGGAGGCAGAGGTTGCAGTGAACCCGTGGTTAAGCCACTGTACTCCAACATAGGCAACAGAGTGAGACTGTTTCAAAATAGAAAAGAAGAAAAAGAAACCCATGGATTAGCAACGGAAGGAAGGTTTGCTTCCTCCTTGTGAACACAGAGTATGCCAGCTCTTTACACATCATCAGTACATGACCTTTTGTCTAGTCTCATCCTTGCTAGATTTTCTTCCTGACGTGTAAATTTGCAGATAAGTAGGAAAAACATAAGATGGTAGTGATTTCCTGGTGAGAACAGGAACAGGAATGGTAGCTCTCTGCCTCATGTAAAGATACGATCTACCATGTGAATGGATAAATATCAAATTTGCTAAGTAATTCTTAGCCACCAGGTACCCTGCTCTGTTCTCTCTGTTTGCTTATCTAGTAGTTTATGGGAAATACTACTGTTTCATTAAAAAGCTCTTTGAGGGCCGGGCATAGTGGCACATACTTGTAATCCTAGCACTTTGGGAGGCTGAGGTGGGCGAATCACAAGGTCAGGAGTTCAAGACCAGCCTGGCCAACATGGTGAAATCCAGTCTCTACTAAAAATACAAAAATTAACCAGGCATGGTGACGGGTACCTGTAGGCCCAGGTACTTGGGAGGCTGAGGCAGGAGGATCATTTGAATTCAGGAGGCAGAGGTTGCAGTGAGCTGAGATCGCACCACTGCACTCCAGCCTGGGTGACACAGTGAGACTCTGTCAGAAAAAAAAAAAAAAAAAAAAAAAAAAAAAGTCCTTGAAAAAGCTGGGAGAAAATAAGGTGAAGGCAGAACCAAGGGTTTAGCTCTGCAAAACTAAGAGATCAGGAGAGAGAGAGAGAGAGAGAGAGAGAGTGTGTGTGTGTGTGTGTGTGCACATGCATGCATTCAAATGGAGAGAGAGAGAGGAGACAGAGAAGCAGGACAAGGCAGGAAAATCAGTCAGAGGGCTCCGGAAAGAGTCCACAGAGGAAAAGGCACCCAAAACCCTTCGATCACTGACCACTGCCCTCTGGATCAAGTCCAGACTCCACATATGGCACCCAATGGCATTTATGATCAGTCCCCTGCCTATCTTGAGTGATTCTTTCCTCACAACTCAACCTTCTAGCCAAGCTGAATTTATTTCACTCAAATCCAGGTTGTCAGGCATGCTATTCCGTTCACCCACCCTTCCCGTCTCCCAGCCACCCCCTCCCTTGAGTCCCTGGGGTTCTCTGCGACCTCTGTTTCCACAAGCTCCAGCGGCTGTTGCATCAGCAGCTCACCGTCTTATCATCACCTTCCTCCCCGAAGTTCAGAGCCCACTGAGGACAGAGACTGAGCCTGAAATGCCACTGTATCCCCAGCATGTGGCCTGGAAGCAGCTTACAGAGTAGGCACGCATTTAACTCACTGGTTACATGAGTCAAAACGGAATGTTGTTTTTCTGAAGTATTGAAATGCAGAGGCATTTATAAATAAGCTAAATCTTAAAATCTTCATGGGCAAAGCATGAGTAGCTAAAAACTGTCTTTAGGGAAGTACCTCTTTCTCTATGTTCACAGTCATTCAGATTCAAGCTCTCCTGTCTGCCTCTGTCTATTCTTCCTAAGCCTCCTCACAGGCACTGTAAAGTCCTCTCCGATTTTACTTCTGAAAGAACAGCTTATTTAGAGGTCTGAAACCTGCCATGGAAAAATGTGTCCTCAGGAAAGAACAGAATTGATTATTTGTAACACTCTTTATAATGCATTAGGATTTTGAGAGCTATTTTCAATAGCAAACCCACCCTCTACATGTAAATATCTCTCTGTAGAATATTACCTC